GTATATCTAGTATATTAGAATAGTATATCTAGTATATCAGAATAGTATATCTAGTATATCAGAATAGTATATCTAGTATATTAGAATAGTATATCTAGTATATCAGAATAGTATATCTAGTATATTAGAATAGTATATCTAGTAAATCTAGTATATCAGAATAGTATTATCTAGTATATCAGAATAGTATATCTAGTATATCAGAATAGTATATCTAGTATATCAGAATAGTATATCTAGTATATCAGAATAGTATTATCTAGTATATCAGAATAGTATTATCTAGTATATCAGAATAGTATTATCTAGTATATCAGAATAGCATAAGTATCTAGTATATCAGAATAGTATATCTAGTATATCAGAATAGTATATCTAGTATATCAGAATAGTATATCTAGTATATCAGAAAAGTATATCTAGTATATCAGAATAGTATATCTAGTATATTAGAATAGTATATCTAGTATATCAGAATAGTATATCTAGTATATTAGAATAGTATATCTAGTAAATCTAGTATATCAGAATAGTATATCAGAATAGTATATCTAGTATATTAGAATAGTATATCTAGTATATCAGAATAGTATATCTAGTATATCAGAATAGTATATCTAGTATATCAGAATAGTATATCTAGTATATTAGAATAGTATATCTAGTATATCTAGTATATCAGAATAGTATATCTAGTATATCAGAATAGTATATCTAGTATATCAGAATAGTATATCTAGTATATCAGAATAGTATATCTAGTATATCAGAATAGTATATCAGAATAGTAATTGTCAAATCAATTAGAAAAATATCACAAACACAAGACAATTTTATGGAATAAACACACTTCTTTAATAAACTAATTAAACACATAACGTTTTAACACAATTTGCACGTGTCGTCATCGGATGAAATAATGACGACACGTGTAAATTGTGTTCAAACGTTATGTATTTAATTCGTTTATTAAAGGAATACTGCGTCTTAGAATGAACATAAAATTTAAAATTTTTAAACTTTGCCAATAAGAGCCAGTAGATATACCTGGTGTCATAAATGACATAAGAGGGTCCTTATATAATCCGATAAATCTAAAAAACTTAATAAACATGCAATTAAATATTAATATATCAAATATAAAGATTAAGCGTTATTAAATAATTGCTTAGTTTTATGAATTTTCCAATTTTCTAGATTTTACAGGGATTCTGTTGTAACTTTATGACACAAGGTAAGTTCACTGATGAATATATACTCATATTGACCATTCTTGAGAATTAAATTGTATGTTCATTCTAAGACGTAGTATCACTTTAAGGCAGTGACTTTATTCCATAATATTGTCTATTGTTTGTGATTTATACTCCTCACTTCTAAATGTCGCTCAAGTCTTATAATTAGAAACATAATGTAAATCTAATTTAAAAAATGAGTGATTTAGAACTTAAATGTAAAAAGGATAAGTAATTGTAAAAAATAGAAGTAATTGAATAAATAGAAGGTAATGTTTAAAAGCAAAAGTAATCAGAAAAGTAATTCATGGAATTTGAAAAAAAGGAATAGTAAAAAGCTAATTGGAGAAGGTAAAGGTAATTGTAAAAAATGGAAATAATTGTTAGATGTACAATTAACTGTAAAAAGTAAGAGTAATTGTAAAAAGTAAAAGTAATTGAAAAAAGTTAAAGTAATTGAAAAAGTAAAAGTAATTGAAAAAAGTTAAAGTAATTGTAAAAAGTAAAAGTAATTGAAAAAGTAAAAGTAATTGAAAAAGTAAAAGTAATTGTAAAACGTAAAAGTAATTGAAAAATAGTTGAAATAATTATCAAATGTATTTATGAACAGGAAAAGTAATTGTTGACGTAAGATAAAGGTGATGTTTAAATCAACTGAAAAGTATTTCAAAGAAATTAAAAAATGGAATAGTAGTTAAAGATAGTCAAAGTAAAACTAATTATAAAAGATAAAAGAAATTGTTAAGCTGTACATTGCATCGAAACATAGGACTGAAAAAAACCGATCAAATGTAAATAGCTAAAGAGAATGCCAGGTTATCCAAAAATATATACCTTGTTACCTTCAATATACACTCCGATATTGTTTCGACGTGAAAGAAAATATTCCTGATGGTGCTAGTTAGTCCAGATTCTATATATCTCACGGTTAGGTAGTTACTGTTGCAATTCCACACACCCTCGTATATTGTCTAAATTACCACTCAGTTTTCACTACAGTACTGAATAGTAATAATAATTCATACAACCACTCATTACAATCGCGACTGTCCATTGAAATATTAAACAATTCCTGTACAATCGCGACAGTCTTATTGAAAACATCGGATTGAAAAATAAACACCTAATTGGGCTAATAAAGATGGGATGCAGTGAGGACTGAGGGAAATTTTGCTGGCTCTATTTCCAACTGTCGAGTGATCTGACGTACACAGGACGGCTAATTGAATGGTGGCGAATGATCTGCAAAGGACGGGAATGACAAGAATATCGTGTTCGGAAAGCAACGGTAAAATATGATAAGCGTTTTACAGCGTTTCTACAGGAACATATTGGAACTCAGAATTCGACATCAATCTATGCTAACATTTCTTGGCATGTCCTTTTATTTTAGTCGAATGTTTTGATTGGCGGTGGGGAGGGGGGGGAGTTTTGATGCCCCAAACAGTTTAACTTTCAATTTGAATATTATTTTGTATTTAGTATGCGTTAGCATAATCAACGATGGTTGCATAGCACTCGATTAAAGATAACCGTGGCAATTCTAAAAGGAATTAGAACACAACAATATGGAATAGTGCTGCTGAAGACGAAATGTCGTGCAACAACCATCTTATGACTATAATATTGACCTATTAACATTCCAGATCCAACATTGCAATTGAGACTTTTGATAGTAGTCTAATAGGCACTCTTGTTAGAGAGAAATTCGTTAACCAATGCTCAGGTGCGGTCACAGTCTCTATAGTAGTGGGCTTTACTGTCATTTGGACATCTTCAGTTGGAGATTAGAGATAATGTTTTTGACGATTACTATATAATAAATAAAATTGCAACAGTTTAATGATTTTTTTCTGAAATATGTCCGGAAACATGCATTCGGCAATTCTTTGTACAGTTATTTGTAGTCCCGAACGACCAGTCTCTGATGTGTGAACTACCAGAATCATGTGTTAGAGTTTTCAATCTTGATGAAAAGGTTTATCAAACCAAATCTGAATGTCGATTTATAAACTTAAACGTGGCTGAAGACAAAAACAGTCTTTTATTATCTTTACTGAAGAAGTTTTCAAGAGACATAACTTTTCATATCTCTATAGTGAAGAGCAAATTTATTTCTATCAAGGGCCATTACTCTGACATGACAAACAATAGTACTTGAATATGATATTTTACAAACTATTATCTTAAAGTCGATATTTTGAATGATTTCTGAAGATTGCGAATGTTCGGTTCACAGAGCGGATTTGGACCGAGAAAAAAATTAATCTTCAGGGAAATATTTACTTCTGCGAATCGTGTTGGATGCATGCAGGATTTCCGAATCGTAAGCTTTCGTGATAGTTCTACCTTATGAGCTGCTATTCTAGTACTTATTGTTCGATTACAGGCATACACGACAAATCGACAAGGCCTTGAATTCATCGTAAAAGATATATCCGAAAACAACAATTAACGGATGTATTTTAAATCTTTATTATGGAACTCATCGATCTTGATCAGTCAAAACTATTGATGTCTATCTATAATGCGACGTGCAGATGACGCGATTATACCTGGGATCATGCTTGCCTTTTTGAGTCTTAGTTTATATTACTGATACTGTTGTTTCCACTTTCAAATCACTGGATTAGGTCCCACAATTCTGATGAATAGTTGTCATGCCACCAATAGCTTAATGGATTTAGAGACTTCTAAGACAGAAACTCTGTGACTCTATGCTACTGATTGTACTCGTTGTTGTCCAGTAATAAGAAAAGTGTGGGAGAGATTTTGAACGATGAGTTTATAATGAATAAAAGGAGCGGAATATTCAACGAGCTCATTATATTGTCCAGTTGTGCCGGGGGTGGTGTTGACATTTGGCAAGTACTTGAAGTTCGATAGGGTGCATATTATGGTTGTGTTATTGAGAAGGCGAAGGGGAATTTTTGGGACGTTATAGTTATAAAGGGGTTGACCGATTAATTGATCGAAGGTAGTACTCTAAGTGGGTCGTTATGTATGGTGCAACAGTATATATGGGCCGTTATGTATGGGGCAATATTATATGTGTACCGTTATGTATCGTGCAGAAGTATATTTGGGCAACAGTATATGTGGGTTGTTATATATTGGGCAACAGTATATGTGGGTCGTGTTTTATGGTGCAACAGTATATGTGGGTCGTTATGTATTGGGCAAAAGTATATGTGGGTCGTTATGTATTGGGCAATAGTATATAGGTGGTTGGTTATGTATGGGGCAACAGTATATGTGGGTCGCTATGTATGGGGCAACAGTATATGTGGGTTGCTATGTATGGGGCAACAGTATATTTGCGTCGCTATGTATGGGGTAACAGTATATGCGGGTCGTGTTTTATGGTGCAACACTATATGTGGGTCGTTATGTACTGGGCAACAGTATATGTGGGTCGTTATGTATGCTGCAACAATATATGTGGGTCGTTATGTATGCTGCAACAAAGTATGTGGGCCGTTATGTATGGCGCTACTGTATATGTGGGTGGGGCAACAATGTAATATGTGGGTTGTTCTGTACGTCGTTATGTATGGGAGCAACAATATATGTGTGTCGTTAGGTATGCCGCTACAGTATATGTGGGCTGTTACGTATGGGGCAATAGTATATGTGGGTCGGTATGTATGGGGCGACAGTATATGTGGGTTGTTATATATTGGGCAACAGTATATGTGGGTCGTTACGTACTGAGCAACAGTATATGTGGGTCGTTATGTATTGGGCAAAACTATATTTGGGTCGCTATGTATGGGGCAACAGTATATGTGGTTGGTTTTGTATGGGGCAACAGTATATGTGGTTGGTTTTGTATGGGGCAACAGTAAATGCGGGCCGTGTTTTATGGTGCAACAGTATATGTGGGTCGTTATGTATGGGGCAACAATATATGTGGGTCGTTATGTAGGCTTTCACAATGTATGTGGGCCTTTATGTATGGCGCTACTCTATATGTGGGTCGTTATGTATGGTGCAACAGTATATATGTGAGTCGTTATTTATTAGACAGCAGTATAGGTGGGCGCATCAGTATACGTCGGTCGTTATATATGGGTCGTAATATATCGGGCAACAGTATATGTGAGCCGTTATGCATTTGGCAACATTATATATGTAAGTCATTATGTATTGGACAGCAGTATAGGTGGGCCGTTAAGTACGGCGCATCAGTATACGTCGGTCGTTATATGTGGGTCGTTATATATTGAGAAACGGTATATGTGGATCGTTATGTATTGGGAAAAGGTATATTTCGGTCGCTATGTATGGGGCAATGTGGTTGTTTTTGTGTGCGCAACAGTACATGTTGGTTGTATTTTGGGGGCAACGGTATTATGTGGGTCGTTATATATGGTGCAACAGTATATGTGGGTCGTTATGTATTGGGCAACAGTATGTGGGAGCTATGTATGGCGCAACGGTATAATATATTATTCATTTCCATTGAAATTTATTTAGTGTTAAATGTAGTAGATCGTGAAAATTGACTGATGATTTGGAAAAACTAAATTATGGCGGAAAGTTGAACGATATTTAAATACAGTTTTTTTATTCCAGTACACGCCTTCTAGCTTGAATAATGAGTACTTAGATTCTTCACTGAGACAGCGTAGGGGTTTAATCGTTCGCTATGGTTTTTACATTCCATTATTCCGAAATCTAGGTCAATGGAATCTCCATGTAAAATAGACTATAATAATCTTAAAGGTATGTCTGATTAACATGACTATTTGCTACAGACAATTAAAAGCAAATAGTGATATAAATACTGGCTTCACCAGGTGATAGAGAAAATGCTACAGAAACCAAAAAGGACAATTGTTTTGTTTTATATAAACAGATAGCGCCGTCGTTGTTAAATATTGTTCATTTTCACAAAACAAATATGCAGAAAGTGCATTCATCGGACGCTTTGAAAAAAGTGGACATAATTATCCGAGTTGTGTCTACTAAAGTGTAACACTGTTGAAATATGTAATAGCATCAGACGTGCTGAAAGACGATTTGGCACTTTCAGTGCATCGTTTCCCCCACGTTAGATAATTAACACAAGAATTGAAGTCATTGATGAGTGATTCATTTGATTTAAAAGGTGGTCAGATGGTAATTGTAAGTAATTATCAACTACAGGAGAATTTACAATGAAATATTGTCTCTAACAGTGTGAACTATTTTCACGTTCCTCGATGTAAAGGGATAGTTCGAAATGTAAAAATATCTTTAACCATACAAAATATCTTACTTAGCTTTATTTTGATCGTTATTTTGCAAAGTCGGAAAATGACACCTCTCTCTCCGAACCGAGGTGGCTCAGTGAGTTAGACGCATGCTCGCTAATATGAAGGTTCAGGGTTTTATCCCGGCATAGGTCGATATAATACCTTTGGGTTTTTCAACCCAGTTTCCACCTGTCAGTGATACAGGTAAGAGAGGCTGACATGAAAAAAGCGTCTATGGGACAATTAACCGAGGCCTTATGTGCTACAGGCTGTGCAAGTTAAAGATCCCTCGACAGTTGTAAAAAAGAGCAGGCTAATGCCACTGTCCTGGCAAAATTCCCCCCATTGTACCCTGCATGTGTTGCCCGTCTTCATTAGCCCACATGGTGCAGAAAAGTAGGACGTAAAATTCCAATCATTTCATTTTTTTTTCTCTCCGAATCAAAATTAAAAGTAATATAGTACCTTATTCTTCTTATCATTTAATGGAACTTTTCTGGTACTACTTTCTTTGTAGAAAATTATTACAAACTAAATACTGATTTAAAAAATGTTATTCAGAGTGAAAATCAGCTTATGGTTTGTCTGTAATAGAAACGCGTCCCTGGTTATGAGGTCTATCTAAGAAAATCGAGGAAATATTCATTTGACATTACTTCAGACAACACCAATTCATATTGATTGGAACTCAATCAGTAGAAAGGAAGTAGGAAAAATTCATTTCGTTTTCCCTATACATGTATACGGAAGAAAGCAATATTTGTGCATTTATTGGCATTCTTTTAGTGAGTATGTGTGGTTTATAATTATCTGTGTTATGAAGAATAACTGAAAGAAATTTCAGAGAAATACCCCGAGAATTAAAACCCGTTATCAGAATAATTAACATGTCTTCACTCCAATTCCTCTAATGAATTTTAAAACTTAGATAATTTCCCATGTGACAGTTTCATAAGGAACTATGACATAAGAAACAATATATCATTGGTGTTAGCTAGAACTGGTAGTGGAACATGTTATTGAGGAAGCGAAAGTGTGAAGGTGGAGAAAACGAAAGTAGAAGACAGAGAAAGAGAGGATTGAAGAAAGAGAGGATTGTAGATGGAGAGAAGATGGATGGATGAAGAATTAGGGTGGAATAATGAAGGAGTATGGCAAAGAGGATTGAATGAGCAAGAGAGGGGCGGGGGGATTGAAATGGGAGAAAAAGAAGTAAAATCATTTAATGGAAAGGAGATAGAGTACAGAATATAAGAATGTGAAGAAGAAGATGAAATATCGACGAAGGAAAAAGGAGGAATGATATAATGCTCTGGTCGCTGATGTTATCACCATGTCATCAATAAAGACATATTGGATATTTGAAGATATTTCTTTAATATTTGATATTTGAAGATATTTCAATGTATAGGTGGGAGCCGCGGTGGCTCAGTGAGTTAGACGCTTGCTTGCTAACCTGAAAGTCCAGTGTTCAATTCCGGCATAGGTTGAGATAATACCTTCGAAGTTTTCAACCCGGTTTCCCCTGTCAGTCAGTGATGCAGATAAGAGGGGCTGATATGGAAAAGGCGTCTTGTCTTTCAGATGGGACAATGAACCGAGTCCCCGTGTGCAGCTAGCACTTAAAGATTCCTCGACAGTTGGAAATCGAAAAAGAGCAGGCTAATGCCGCTGTTCTGGCAAAAATTTCCATCATTGCGCCCTGCATGGCGTTGCCCGTCTTCATTAGACCACATGGGGCGAAAAGTAGGACGTAAAGCTCCATTCATTTCATTTCATTTCACTATATAGGTTAAACGGCAATTACTCTGTGGGATAATTTAGTCATAAATTGACTAAAAGTACTCATTTGAGGCTAATTTTGAATAATTCAATTGCAATGAATAGATTTGTTCATCATGTCTGCCAGAAACAATCAAACATTCATCATTACAGCAAATCAAAAGAAGACAAGTAGTTACATTAATTCACGAATAACAAAAAGTTTTATAGAGTATAATTTACTATCTTTATTATTAAGGTAACAAGGCAGTGCCAGGTGAAGACGTAGTTGAAATGTCGTCTGTTATAAAGATAGTAGTAATTGTTTTTTATTATGATATATGCTTTTAGCTTATTCCTAATTCATGCCGATTACATTTTAGTAATAAGTTATAATTAAACCAACTGGGACAACATGCAGTTAAATATATCCAAATATTATCAGTTATCTTTCAAAATAGACTCACTAAATTTAAAGGGAGATATGCGCCATTTTTTGATCAATTATACCTTAGTCTCAGAAACAGGAATTCTTTAGCTAAGCAAATCAGTAATAGTGTTCACAACGCGCCGTCGAAATTTGAGTCTTCAAATCCGAGTGTGTTCAGAATTATCCCTATTTGAAAGTTAAAAAGACGAGTAGTCTTTTCTTGAAACACTGTAATATACAGAAAAGAAATCTATAGAAAATGAATTCCTAGTTTGAGATATTTTTGAAAGGAATGGTGCAATATTCGTACATTTCTAGTATTTCTGAAGACTATTTACATATATTCAATACTGAAATCAACCCCCCAAAATGTACATCAAGTCATATACATGCATGTAGACGTTTAAATATTGCTAGATCCGTATCACTTTTCAGACGGAAGATGAGCACCATCCCAGCAGTGCATTATAATTGCACTCTATTATTTGATCCTTTGATATTTTCATTCCGATTCAGTTGTATTTAATATATTATTGATATTAAATCTATGTTATATTTTATGCTACATTAGATCAAAACATCAATATACTGATAGAAGTTATAGGCACTATCTGTCTAAATACTAATAGAATAGTGATATCAAATGTTTTATTTCATCTATATTATTTGATCGGAATACCAACCATTAGAACTGATAGTCACAGTTGATATGTTAGATTAGGACGTCATGCATTATGCATGCTGATGGAATTTAATAGATCTTAATGGATTAATTGTCTTTGATGATTAATCATTACTATAGTACGGAATTGCATCTGCGCATGTGAAGGGATAATAATCTACTAGGATATAGTCTTCCTATGATGCAGTTAATCATCTGATAAACCCACAAAGGTTTATATTCATTAGATACAACATATAATAAATAATATATTTTAGATATAAAATTATTTTGTAGATAATCAAGTCATTGTGCTAGTCCATTACTTCCTAAGGGAGGAATTGGGAGAATGTGACGAGGAATTATCGCCAAGGGATAAAAAGTAGAAGAATCCACGTCCATTTCCTACCAGGTATTTGGTTGAGGTTGGGTTCAGCATGGTTAATGATGTACTCCTAAAGAAACGCGGTTCCTTGAAGACAACTGAGTGAGATGATCTGCGACTGAAATTAACATCATTCACCCGGGAAATACAGAGAATCTGAAGAACATTCGGCTCAAAGGTCACACTGAACTATCACGAGATGTGAAGTATGATTTTGGATTTATTCATGGTTTATCGTTCAATACATTCTTCAAGTGAAATACGTTTCAAAAGACTAATTTCATGATTCTATGCCTAGAAAAATTTTGACAAATAGAGTTAATTGGAACATTTTGACGTATATTTTGTGGCAGAAACTTTTTCAAATATCTGAGAAATGTCTTTTCAGTTGTGCCCATTGTAGAAAGTGTTAGTAGAATTCAAGGTATTAATTACTATAATAAA